CTGCCTTCTTTTGTAGCGGTTGCGCTGGTAAGAGGTCTGTCAAGAACTAATCGTTTTGGAATCTCCAGGGACGGAGGATTTTTAATGCAGAGATGTCTGGAGTCGCTTTAGGAGCCCATCCCGATTTAACACAGTACATCACTCTTGTGCTTGGAGGCAGTGATGGAAAGAAGTGCCGTCGCCATGAAGAATTTCAGTGCGAGATTTGAACGAAGAGACAGGGATAGAGCGAAGTGTGTTGACAAAGAGGACGACAGTGGTGGCAGACTAGCCGAAATGATGAAGACGGACAAGCTTTATGTTAGCAATGCTTGGGTCTGAAAAAGTGGACGGAGATGGGCTTGAATTGCGTCAAACTCAAAAAGAACTAAATCGATTATCTTGGTCGCTGCTTGACGAATTCTCAGAGACGTTTCCATGATATTTTCCTCCAGTACACTGAAAGCAAGCATTGCATGCTGCGGACTAGAATGCATTTCATCCCGTCTCACGGATGAAGAATGCTGCATGTGGTAAGTCAGCGTGACAGGCCCGGGGAAACTGGTGGTGAGGAGGTGAACCGAAAGTTGGGAAGAGCGACTGAACGGTGAATATATTGTTTAGGACTACATATGTCTTGTTGATAAGCTTCTTGAGAGCGCAGAACGAGCCGAGTGTGCTCGATTTCGTCTGTCAACTTCGCGGATCTCCTCTATTTCAAAAATAATTTTAAAGAAGAGAAGGAAATGAAAAGGGACAAAACCTAAAACGTGAAGTACTCGCTTCTTTGCAGGCACATCAAACAGACAGGCTGAGGGAGGGTCTCAAAAACTACAAAAATTAACGGAAGGCAAAGGCATTCCAAAAAAAGCAGAGCCTTAAAAAGTGCAGGGGAAAACAGTTTCTCTTTCATTTCACAGTGGCAACACTGAAGGACGGGGATGGACGTCAGATAACGGATCGAACAGATATAGAGAGCATTTGTAGAGTCATTCATCATGTACCGACATTCCAGCACATGTAATTCACGGAACCAAACGGCGAATCCCTTCAGTACTTGTCGGCGAAGTAAGGCACGCAGCTCTCCAAATGAAAAATGGAAAGGCTTCCGGGAATGATAGCATTAAACTGAATTCATTAAGTCAGAAAGCATGAACTGTGAAGGCTCTCACTATTCGGTTCAGCCGGTACTTCGCCGAAAGAAAAATATCTAGCAGTTGGAAGATCCCTTGGGTAGGGCATATTGCTCGCCTTGCCGGCTACTAGTGGATAACGCTCGTTAGCAAGCGGTATAAGTGAGAAAGCAGGCAAGTGCTCGGGCGGCCCGTAAAGAAAAGGCGCACACATGCGTAGAAAAGCGCTGGAAACTAATTGAAGGTTTGCAGCACAGGGAGCAATGGGCGAGAAAGCAGGCCTGATATAGCTGCGTTTGGCATGTGGAAGCATCCCAGTCACTAAGATGGAATACTTACGCAGATAGCCTGGGTGGTCTTGGTTTTTTTTGGTATATCATTTAACTGTTGTATTTGGTGTTGGATTTTTATACCAGTCCTGAAAATTATAAATATTATAGATATTGTATGAAACGGAGGAAGGATTCGCTCCGCCGGAAGAGATAGAAAATTGTGAAGAGGACTTCTAAAACGGAAAGCAAGGCTGTTCATTCTGTGAAAGTCGCAGAATGGTGAAATTTGTTACCGGCTTCAGTCTTTGGTGATTTTAACTTGTGCAAATACGCTTTGAAAAAAAAAATATATTTCAAGTTTTAAAGATATTTCTTTATTCTGCATGCTTTTTTAAAACGAAGGCCAATAATTATTGTGTGATTTTAGTAACTTAAATGCTGGACTAGCTCGATTAATTCGTTTATTAAATTCTTAAGATTATCGCGAAGAAAGCCGGATGAATAGCGTAAGTCGAGAAGGAGTCTTCATTTTCTTCCGGTTCTTCCAGTGTTTCATTTTGCTGTTGCATTATCGGCCCAAATGCTCCATTGCTGTTCTCGGGGGGCACCTTGATCATGCGGTCTCCTTTTTTTTTGCCTTCTCTTCGTAAAAGATCTACATACATTCCTTCTGTCGATGCTTTTTTCTTTCGAAATGGACTTTGAATGCTGTTGAAAATTTTTGAGTTATGCAATGTGATGCCAAAGTTGACAGGGTGGGCTCCGACCAGTGTGAAGCAAGGAACGATCTTTTTTTCCGTTTCTAATCTTGCATCGGTCGAAACAATTATTAGCCCTAATGCGTGCAGTAATTACTTTCAGAACAGCAGCCATAGTCATATTATTTGTCGGTTTACAATAGTTTAGTGAGATGCACCACAGAAGATTGCGGCAGTTTCTTGGCTTGCTTCTTTCTATTCTTTTTTCATGTTATTCTTCGCTCCATCTTTTTTCATTTTTTGCCTTATCACTTCCGCCCAACAAGTCGTCGCCCACACAATCTCGGTGGATGAGCACATTTTTGTGCACTCATATGTAAGCCTGCTCATTGCTCAAGCTGGTTTAGTAAGACTAAGTGAGTGAGGTGAGTTTTTG